TTTCTCTTTCTTTCTTTCTTTCTTTCTTTCTTTCTTTCTTTCTTTCTTTCTTTCTTCTTTCTTTCTTTCTTTCTTTCTTTCTTTCTTTTTTTCTTTCTTTCTCTTTCTTTCTCTCTCCCTTCCTTCCTTCTTCCTTCCTTCCTTCCTTCCTTCCTTCCTTCCTTCCTTCCTTCCTTCCTTCCTTTCTTCTTTCTTTCTTTCTTTTTTTTTTTTGGCAGAACCGGGGATTGAACTCAGGCCCTTGCGCTTGCCAGGGAAGCACTTGGTATGTTTCAAAAAGCACCAGCCTTCTATCTCTTTGTGCCTTTAACAGACTGAATAAGAAAGTGATTCAGGCCCCACATATCCCGGCCATTTATCATCTTTCAATAGGAAAACAAGAAGGCGTGTACTGCCATTGGAGACAACCTGAGATATCCACATTTGTCCTACAGTTGATTATGTTACTACATTGAGGACTCAAATGAGACTGGGATTGTAGTAAAGTTGTCTTTGTTCTTCAGGTCATGAGTCTATGGACACCTTTCCCAGAGTGATAAATTATGCATATAAAGCGAATACATTTGCAATTTATATTCTTTTAAAACATTGTTTATTTATTCATTATCTTTCTATGTATTGGTACAGGGTCTTGCTATGCAGCTTGGACTCATAGTGATCCTCCTGTCTCAGCATCCCCAGTGTTGGGATTATAGGTGTGTGCCACCACACCTGGTTTTGCAATTTATATTCTTATAATAAATCTCCAAGAACATTCTTGTGTGCTATTTAACACTATTGGTAATAAAATAGGTAAAATCTCTTCAAATGAAGTAACAGTGATGCTAGTTATTTATTATTGCTTTCCTTTCCTTTTTTTTTGCTTGAAGAGAAATAATTAAAGGGATCAAAACACTTCTCTTAAATTAATTGGCAATTAAACAAAACTGCTTTATACCTCTGATTTCCATAAGAGATTACATGTTCAAAACTAGCAGGTCTTTTGTGGAAAATAGGAGATTTTTCACTGGCAGAAGGCTGAATAGTTTTAATATAGGTTTGGATAGAAAATACAGAGGTTTGAGAGTAAGAACAACCCATCAGCTGCTTTCTGTTCTTTGGTAATCTAAATATTTCATCTGATAGTTTCATTTTGATAGTAACAAATTTGGTTTAGCATGAACATAAGACACCATCCGTGAAACTACGTCATTAGAAGCTATTACTATTTTAGTAACTAAACATTTAAGTTTAAAAGAGAAGCTGAGTTCTAGAAATATGTTTAGTGGGAAGCGTGGGCTGCAACTTGATCATCTTCTCACCAGAGGAGTGACCAGGTGGTGACATTCAGGATGAGTGAGCCCTGGGACTGCGCAGTTGTGAAAAGGCTCAGTGAGAAATTGTCTCAGTGGGTTGGGAAGAGAGCACGGATTCTGACAATAACACACTCTCAAATTGCCTGCCCTACCTGTCCCATCATGGTCCTTCATGTTTCTGTCTCCAATCTTAAATTGTGGTGCAGCATCAGATGGGCATCCTTAGGAGTAGCTCCTTTCCTCACTCTCCACTCTCACCCAATAATGTGTCTTCTCTCAGCCCCATGGTTTGTCTACTGCAATGTATGCACCTCAGATTTCTTGTTATCATAGCTGATCATGAAGTAAATTTAGGGTAAGAGTCATATCCCCCAGGAAAATAGGTTTCACTGGAGCTCTGTATTAGTGTACATCAACCAAGGAAAGTTTTCAAAGGAAAAAAAATAAAATGTATTATCCTTACAAAGAAACCATAAGGTGTTAAATTGGTGAGTAGTACAACGATTTTGAACATCTGAGGACAGACTGGAATCCGAACAATATGTGATCTCCCAATGGAGAAGGTAAAGCAGAACAGATGACAAAGTCAAAAAAAT